ACAAAATAAAATTAAAATAAAATAATATAAAATAAAATAGAATAGAGGCCAATAAAATAAAATAAAATAATGTAAATAGAATCAAGTAAAATAACATTGAGAAAAATAAAATACAATAAAATAAAACTAATTAGAGTAAAATGAAATAAATTAGAACAAAATATAGTAAAGTAAACTTAACTTAGATAAAATTTAAATAAAATAAAATAGAATAGAATAAAATATAATACAATAGAAATAGAATCAAGTGGAATAACATTGAGTAAAATAAAATAAAACAACTAAAATAGAATAAAATGGAATGAAATAGAATACAATAAAATAAAACGTAATCAAATCAAATCTTAAATTTATCAAAATCGGTCTTATTAAGGTCTTGTATATATTAAGCTATACTGCACATTTTATATTTTTATTTTTTAAATGTTTCTGGAGACCGTGAACAGTTCTGTTTGCTATTGATATGCGTCTTTTTATTTCGTCTCTTGTCGTGTTTGTTTTTCCCCGTTTACCACAAGTTCTAATTCACTTGCTGCGTCCGCAAGCCTTGTAAAACACTGCACCATGTCTCTCATACTTCTGCCTACTATAACTATTTTGTCAGCGAATGCGAGAATTTGCGTCGATTATTAAAAGTAGTTCCATTCATTCTAGTATTTAATTGTCTGATTGCCTTTTCTAAGGCAATATTAAAGAGGAGACACATAGGGTTTTCTCCTTCAATTCTAACGCATGTGCTTACGTTTTGCATTGTTAATTGGGTCAACTTAACTAACTTAGGTGGAATCCCAAAATCTATCATTGCATTATATAATGAAGTTCTTTTCACACTATCATAGGCTGCTTTGAAGTCAAAGAAGAGATGGTGTGTATCTATGTTATATTCTAGTGACTTTTCTAGAATCTGCGAATGTGCTTGAATTTGATGTGTAGTTGACTTTCCAGCAGTAAATCCGCATTGATATTCACCAACAACATCCTTTGTAAAAGGTTTAAATCTTTCAAATAATACATTGCCGAAGATTTATAGTTCTTACACTCCAGTTGATCACCCTTTTTATGCGACGGACATATTATTCCCTTTAACCACTCTTCTGGTACCCATTCATTCTGCCATATAAGTACTATTATTTTATGGATTGCTGCAAAAAGCACCTGTTTATACATTTCCGAAATAAGATTTAATCAATTTCTGGGGCTTTATTGTCTTTGAGTTTTAGGATCGCATTTGACACTTCTTCTCTTGTTGGATCTTCACTGTGAAGTTGATGTTGTAGATTTTGTTGATTTTATGTTGTAACCTCTTTTAATATCGTTTATATTTAGATGTTCGCTGAAATGTTATGCCCATCTGTTAAGAACTGAGTTTTTATCATATAGAATTTCACCGTTAGTGTCTTTACAAATTTTTAATTGTGGTTTAAATTCTCTACGGCTGGTATTTAAGGATTTGTAGTATTTCTTCGTTTAATTTTTATCGAATAAACTTTGTATCTCATTGAGAGTCTTCTTCCTCTCTTCTAAGACGTCTATACTCTTTGTTTTTTCTCTGCGTACAACCTGCGTCGATGGTTTTTTGATATGCTGCGTTCTTTCTATTTGTGGCCATTTCGCACTCATGATCAAACCAACGATTTCTTTTTTCTGACTTGGTTTTGCCCAATATTGAAACCGATTTCTGTAACACAATATCTCGTATATTTACCCATAGTTGGTTAATATCTTCTTCTTCTTCCAAGTTTTTTGTCCTTATTTGATGTTCTATTTGCTGTCTGTATACATTTGCAATGTCGAGATCTTTTAGTTTATTAATGTCGATTTTTCTCTCCTTCTCCCAATCGCCTTTTTTAATTTGGATATTCTCTCTCTAAATCATGCTTTACAGTATATAAAGTAAGTAACAAAGTAAATGCTAAAGTTATGCTCCTACAGCAGAAAAACCAGAAAGAGAAGTACGAGAATTCTACCAAGAGATTAAACAGCTAATGAAGATCACAAAGAAAAATGTTGTAAACATTATTATGGGAGATTTTAATGCCAAAGTAGGTGAAGGGCGGACCGAAGACGTAGTAGGAAACTTTGGTTTGGGCCAAAGAAATTATAGAGGAGAAATACTGGTCCAATTTTGCCAAGCAGAAAATCTAATAATCGCAAACACCTGGTTTAAACAACCCAAAAGAAGATTATATACATGGAAAGCACTTGGCGATAATCAAAACCGCATAATAAGAAACCAGATTGATTATATATTAATTGACAAACGTTATAGAAATGGTATCAGGGGAGTTATATCCCGGGACAGACATCGGTTCCGACCACCATCCTGTTGTTGGTAAAATCAAACTAAAGAAAATCAAATACAGAGAGAAGCTAAAACCTAACCTCGAAAAATTTAAAGATCCAATAGTACAGGCAGAAATAGAGGAAACACTCAATGATACACTCAAAGAAAAGTTCAGTGAAGCACCCGCGGAAGCAGAAGAAACAATAGAAAGTATTTGGTACACCTTCAAAACAACAATCACAATCACAATCCAACTGATGGACATAAGGAGATCTTACAAAAATCGCAATGAAGAAAAATACTTATAATAAAGAAACCCAGAGAATCATCCGAAACAAAATTAGGAAAGCCAAATAAGAATGAATGAGCAGCAAGTGTGAGGAACTGGGAGATATACTAAAAAATCATGACTACTTTAATGCATACAAAAAAATTAAGGAAGTCACAAATATGAAGAAAAAAATCACTACAACAACTTTAGTAGATGATAACAACGACATAGTAACTAGTCCAGAAAATGTAGGAGATTCGTGGGAAAAATACATCGAAGATCTGTTTGATGACGAGAGAACAGAACCACAAATGAATATAGTACAAGAAACAATACTTGATATATTAACATCGGAAGTTACAAAAACAATCAATACGACAAAGCCACGAAAAGCCTCAGGTCTAGATGAAATATACGTAGAGATGATAAAGCTTATCAATGAAGAAAATCTTCAGATGTTAACAATATTATTTAACAAAATGTATATACCACTTGAATCTTCCCAGAAGACTGGCTTAGATCGACATTTATACCTATACCCAAGAAAAATAAAGCAAATAGATGCTCACAGTTCAGATTAATTAGCCTGATGAGCCATTTTCTGAAAATTTTACATAAAATTGTACATCAACGAATATACAGAGAATGCCAAAGAAACCTGAGCGACAATCAATTTGGATTTCGTATGGGGCTTGGTACAAGGGAGGCATTATTTGGCCTCCAGATATTACTACAAAAATGCCGAGATCAGCGCAAAGACGCGTTTCTCTGTTTTATCGACTACGAAAAAGCGTTTGATCGAGTAAAACACACAGAACTCATAGAAACCCTAACTCAACATGGTATAGACCATAACACTGTAGCACTTATTAAAAAACTATATTGGCATTCAATGGCGTCGATCAAAATAGACAATCGTCTGACAGCAGAATTGCCAATAAAAAGAGGAGTTCGTCAGGGCTGTGTACTTTCTCCACTGTTATTTAATATATATATTCCTAAAAGATCTTTCAAAATGCCCTCGAAAATATTGAAGAAGGAATAAAAATCAACGGAGAATACGTAAACAACTTAAGATACGCAGACGACACCGTCATTATTGCGGACAGTGCTGAGGGTTTACAACGACTTTTGAATGTCATAACCAGAGAGGGAGATAGCTTGGGACTAAATATAAACATAAATAAAACAAAAGTAATGGCTGTTACACATGCACCAAATGTCGACATTAATATTCGTATCTATAACAAACATATAGAACCAGTACAAAGATTCCAGTATCTTGGTTGCTGGATAACAAACGATATTGACCACCAGGTCGAAATACGTGCTCATATAGAATATGCTAGGTCCGCATTTCAACGAATGAAAAAATTCCTAATAAACTCTACGTTATCGTTGGATATCCGATACCAATTTATAAAAACGTTTATTTATTTCATATTGGTATACTGAGTGGAAACATGGACTCTCGGAATTACAAGTATGAGAAGCCTTTGAGATATGGGTTTTTCGAAGGATGCTGAAGATCTCTTGGACAGAGCACGTGACCAATAACAAGGTGCTATGAAGAATGGGTACTGAGAGAGAACTCCTAAATATTGTAAAAAACAGAAAAACGAGTTATCTAGGACATATTTACAGAGGAGAAAAATACAACTTCCTACGACTCATAATGGAAGGGAAAGTGGAAGGAAGAAGAGGTTCAGGAAGAAGAAAATGCTCCTGGTTGAAGAATATAAGAGACTGGACAGGTATGGACACACATTAGATACTAAGAACAGCTCAAGCTAGAGAGCAATTTGCTGTAGTTATAGCCAACCTGCAGTAATGGAGAAGGCACCTTAAGAAGAAGAACAAAGTAAATAATAGTGTTTACTGTATCTGCATCTTTTTTGGGGTTCCCAAATTGATATTCTTAGTAAAATTCAGCTTGTTCGTCTCGTTTTTAGAGACCACATCTATGACGACTGGACTAAATTACAATTACATGAAAATCAATTGTCGCTATAAATTACTTTTAAGTAAAAATTACCCTGTACTGGTATTAAGCACATCACAATATTAATTTAGTTGGGTTCCTCAAATTTGACAACTAGGCTTCTAATGAATATTTTACCCTCTACTTCTTCTTCTTCAGCCTTAAGTAATCAAACTTTGGATATAGGCCTTCCCAAAATCAATTAGGTGTTTTCTATTTTGCGCCACTTACTTCCAGTTGTGTCCTCCGATCCTCTTAATGTCATCAGATCATCTCATTTGTGCTCTTCCTTTGATTCTCGTTCCTAACCATGGTCTCCATTGTTGTATTTCGTGGTTTTATCTTTTATCCTTCAGTCGGACATTATGTCCTGCGAAGCTCCATTTTAATTTTACAGCACGTTCCTCTCTTAGTTTTCATTTATTTCGTTTTCTTACATTAATATAATATTTTTTTATTTACAGATGCGTAACTATCATTTGGAAAGAATGTATGATATGTTGTTTGGCGATATGAAGGAGGAATGGATTAGAACTAAGCCAACTCTAGGTGGTTATGTTTATACATGTTATGCATGTCGACATTTGTAAGTATATATCTTCATAGTACTATACCAAATAAATTTTTTGTGCGTACGAGTTCCGCGTTAAATAGTTTTGGTTTTTAGAAAAACCACTGTTTTGGCAACGTTTCGACAAGGTCACAGTTGCCATTGTCAAGTCAGATTAGTTCGGCTTGTTCTTGATGTTCCAGGAGAACTGATTTCTCGGTCAGTTAGTCAGTCAATGTTCTTCTCGAGGGATAGGATAAGCATTTTTATTACGTGGGGATTTGAACATTTTTGTACCCGTTTACGATCGATTGATCCTCTTCAGGCTTGGGTTTGAATGTGTTGTGATACAAAAGCAAACAGTCCTAGAATTCACTGGGGTGTTAGCGTTCTTCTTCTTCTTCTGTGGACTATTTGGAGGCTGTCGAGATGGAGTCGCTATTGAATCAGGGGTGAAAGGCTTGTGTGGATTTTGATGTTCTTTCCAGAGTGAATGTGTGTGTTTTTAAGCTAGATGCGACAGAGTCGGGTCTATAGTGACCATTGTTCCTGTGCACTCTCAAACTTAACTCGGCCCCAAAACCATTGTATCACACTTTAATCTTGTGGTCGAGTGTGCTCGTGAGTGGAGGCGACTCGGCTTTCGAGAGTCGACTTGCCACATTTTGCTCAGTGTGAATATGTGTGTGTTTTTTAACCCAACAGTGACGGACGCTATCATTTCGATGTTACTTGGCTCCTTCAAATCACCTAGGTTTTCCCCGACCGACCACAGACTCCGGCTGCAGTCGGCCGGAGGTCCCGGCGATGAGGATGCTTCGGTAGCAAAAAAAGGACCCCTTTCTGTTTAGTAAGGTCTTGTGTTTAGTATTGTATGTGTGCTAGTCTGACTCGACAGAGGCTAAAATCGTGTTCTCTAGTGACCATTGTTCCTGCAGCCGTTTATACGTTTGCGATCAATTTCAAAACTAGTGTATTTTGCACAAAAATTTTGTTATTAATCGCTTCCACTGACAGCCAGGCCTCGTCGGAGTTCGATAGACGGTTTCAGCCACTGCCGATTCAGGTGAGAAAATAGTTGCGGATATTTTCTCAGGGACGGACAGGTATGGTTGAGTAGTGAGATTGGGAAAACGCAAAAACCAATCTCCCCCTGTCCAATAAGGAAAAGGAATTGGGAATTAGAGGTGGGTTCTATAAGCTAGTGGAGTAGCTTCAATAATGTCAGCGTATTCTTATGGAAGTTCGTCAATGCATCACTTCATTAGGATGGACGGGATGTGAAGTTTTTTGTTTTTGGGCTTCCGGGGGGATGCGTGACCGCGGAAAGAGCAGGAACTTTTTAATGTGTCTTACGTATTAGATCGGGGACCGTTGATGGTTCTGAGAGTAAAGTTCCTGTTGAGAGATTTTATTCTCTCGATAACTAGAGTGACATTTGCCGTTTGATGGATTTCACGGGATGGTAAGTACCAGTATTTTCTGCACACACTACGCAGCCGCGGCGATCAGCTTTCTCCTTTGATAGTCTTTAAGAAGGCAATATAAGTTAGTCTTATACTCAACAACGGGTCGAATGAATGTTTTATAAGTGTGGATGAGAGTTTTTGTGTTGGTTTTTCCAAAAGTCCCTGTAAGTGGTATTAGGAGTCGGGCTCGATTCCTGACCCTATCTAAAGTTGCCTTTAGATGCCACGAATAAGGCTGCAACGAAAACAATGTTACCCAATGTTTATTTTTGATGGCACAGATTTCTACAAACCATATATTTTTTTGTTTTTCAACAACGAATAAAATGCTGTTTGCAAAATTTTTACATCATAAACGCTGAAAAGGTTATAGAAGGAAAATGTAAAAATTTAGAAATTGATAAAATGTTTGCTACGCTTATTAGTTTAATTATAAGTTTGTTATTCTTAGTGGCACACCTGTCATACTCGTAGGTTACATTCATCTATATAAGAAGCACTTTGAGTAAACATTTCAGGACGATCCACTGAATGCTAAAAAAATTATGTAGGGAAATGTAACTTATTCTTAAAAATATACGCAGTAAATTCCGCGATTTTTCATTGAAATTAACAATTCTTCGTCTTACAAACTATTAATTATTCATGTAAAAAAAAAGCCTTAGAAGACTTTAATATACTGTAAATAGTATATTTATTGAAAACATTTTCAAAAAACCATTTAGAAGTCGTCTGAAGGATAATAAGTCGAGGCATCTATGAAGTTAAATATATATATATATATATATATATATATATATATATATATATATATATATATATATATATATATATATATATATGTATAATGTTTATATTCATGTGATTGGCATACTTGTTGTTAATTTTCATATTTTTTTTTCAGATTTTCGTCATTTAAAATTCTTCAAGATCACCTTAATGTTAGAATACTAGTGCTAAAGTATAAATGTTCCGGTTGTCAGGACAGATGTTATACATTCTATAATCCATGTGTCCTTTTATTACACATGCGTAGTCACTTCACATCCGATTGCAATCCAATAAATCTTAATGACATACGAACTGATATTTTGCCTGTAGAACTAGCTGGTTTTTTCCCAATTCCCGAAGTACCTGTACTTTACGAAAAAGAGGAAGAAATGTTAACGGACAATACTTACATTGATGTTCAGTTCTATAGCCCGAAAAAGGACCAAAAAGGACAAAATGTAATAGAACTAATAGGCGATACCGTCGTATTTGTTGAAAATAATGAATTGTTAGCATTGAAACAAGTGTGTAAGAACGTACCAAAGTGTCAGTTCGTAACTATAGAAGAGCACAACCAACTAAGAGAAAGCTGTCAAACTGAAGTTGAAGCTACCGTAAAAGAAGAAATTTTGGATTATGTTGAGCAATTTACTCTGCCCGTTATCTCTAAAGTAGAAACTGTGCGGGAACATCCGTTTACCCTTATACCAATTAATTGCATTGATTGTGAAAAATGTCATCATCACGAAACATCGCTTTCTAGGCACTACCAAGGATTGCAAAAACCTGATAATCCTAGCCTGACATGTGACACGTGTAACTTTATAGCTCCGACTAACTGTTCTTTCTTAGCGCACTGTAGACTACACACTAAGACAGCACCGCATGTATGTCCTGAGTGTGGGAAGGTTTTTGATGATTCTGTGGATCTTCGTAAGCATCTCGACGATGTTTGCTTCCATTTTGCTAAGCAAGTCAAGATGAGTTGTCCAGCCACTAAATGCAGAAAGCTATTTTCTACGCGCAAAAATTTTATTCTCCATTTTAAGAAGACTCATTTTAACGTTGGAATAAATTGTGAATCGTGTCGCTTTGTTACCTATTCTGCCCAAGAAGGTGATAAGCACTTTAAACTGAATAATGGAGACTGTGAGTTAATTAATATTTACACTTGTGACGTCTGTAAATTATTTTCCGCTTCGAATGAGTCCGAGATGCATGGACATGCAAAATTTCACTATTCGCAAGTAAACTGTAAAGTATATGTGTTTGTGTGTACATACTGTCGTAAGAATTTTAGATCTGATATTACTTATTCGGCCCACCTGCAAAGGTGTACCTCGAGGAAATCGTTTAGTTCTGCTGGCAAGCTTCGTCTGGTTAGAACCTTGTCTTGTGTCCTATGTAAAGATAAATTAACAACCGATGAACAAGTGCGTCATAATACCTTGTGCAAATACGCTAATCCAGTAGTTATAGCATACAAGTTGAGCGAGTCTTATATAAACGCCATGACGGATGGGAGCAATCATTTGATCAAATCACCCAAGTCAAACGACTGTGTAGAAATTACTAAAAAGAGAAGAAAAAAGTATCTTACTGACATAAGTAAACGTAGGAAGCCCGAAACTCGCCCAGATTTAATAGCCGAGAAACCCAGGAAATTTGATGGTACGTACCATTGTGAGCTGTGTGATTATAGTAGTGCAGATCGGAGTGATTTTCACGCTCACATTAGAACTCATAGGGATATATCCTCACCTTACCAATGTATGGAATGTGGAGAGTGTTTTGTCGTTAAGCCCACGCTGTTCAAACATTTGCGTCATTACCACAATATTAGCGATCATGAATATTATATGAAATGCAACGACTGCTTTGATACAGCTGCGGTAAAGATGATGGAAACATCTATTTAACTAGTCACGACAGCCATTTTTAAACGCTCTTTTCCGATGATTTTGCGTGTCAAAAAGCATATCAGTTTCTTCTCATGGTGCCTATCCGTTACGGATATTGGACACTAACAAGTCTTTATATTCAAACTCTTCCAGTTGTTTTTCAGTGAGAAGCGGTTGCCACCGTCTTCTTTTGAGCATCCTTCGGATTGTAGATGAACTGCTTATCTCTTTCCTTAGACATAGGCACAGCTATATCTTAAACTCCAGTATTTGAGATTCTATTGTGTTCAAGGATTTTTTATGACTTCCTCCATCAATGCGACTCCACCATATTTTAGCTGTTTATCGGGTATTTTACTGAATTTCTCGGTATTTGTAGATCTACATTTAACTGGATATTTAGTGTTAACGCTTGTGTATTGCACTCATGCCTTTTAATAAATCTGTTAGGTATTCTGTCCATCTAGTGGTACTCATATGTGTACTTGCAAGTATCTCATTGCCTTTTTTGTGTTAAATTCTTAAATGTTCTACATATTTGCTCTGCGCTCCATAGAAATCGTTCTCTAACTGCTTTGAGTATGTTTCCCAGTGCTTCGCTCATTTTCTATTTTAAATTCAAAATATTTTGTAAATCTAACTTCGTTTGTACAATACTGGAATAGTTTCTGCTTGACGGCACAAGGAAATCTGAGCTTCCTTTCCTATTTTTGTTTTTGCTATCGCGCGATTATTTTTTAAGTACCAGAACTCGTTTATCCGATTGTACGTATATAAAAAAATCAAACTACGTGAGAGGTCCGGTGCCAAAAAACATTTTAAAATTCTCTTTATATGTATCTAACGAAACTTAGGGAGAATCAATGCACGGGTTGCGTTTCTAGTAAAATAATCTCCTTAATTACTTTATTTATATCATGTTCTTTATAATTTGAAATTGTTTATGTTATTTAAAAATAGGTAATATAAACTTTTTACAAATTTTTCCTAGTGTTTAATTTTTGTACTATTTTTCAATAACGATTTAGGTGAGGAAAATATCCAATATTACAGTTATGGAAATAAGCAGGAAAGATCTTAAATATAAGCAGGAAATATAATAAATAAATCACACCGGTGTTCGTCGCACAAAGAAGATCTGAAGAGATTTTTTTTTATATAATAAAACTCCAACAGGAATTAAAAGTGAAACTGGAACAAACCATGAAGTGGAGATATCCAGGAGTGGCTAGTAAACCTGTTGAATACAAAGCACTTGGTGTTCGTGTGTATTAAGGTATAAAAAAATGCTTATTAAAAGCTTAAAATTTTTATTTTAAAGATCTTTTCGGAATTGAATCATTCCATCATCAGTTTAATAAAAAGTTGTTGAAAAACATTGTATGGCCACTTAAAAACATTGGAAGGACATCCGTTTAAAAAACAATCCTCATGGTATTTATGAAGGTAAATGCAATAGACTGTTAATTTGTTGATTAATAAAAACTGAAAATGGGGGCATATTACATGACCCCCTGTAGTTGGTGAGGTTTTATCGACTTACATTACCTCTGATCTGTGCTGGAGTCTAGGGCTAACTGATAGAAAGATGGTATGAAAAATCAGTTAGTACCCGTCAATGTCAAGTGACATTGACGGGTACTAATCATACCATCTTTCTATCAGTTAGCCCTAGACTCTAGCACAGATCAGAAGTAATGTAAGTCGATAAAACCTCACCAACTACAGGGGGTCATGTAAGATGCCCCCATTTTCAGTTTTTATTAATCAACAAATTAACAGTCTATTGCATTTACCTTCATAAATACCATAAGGAATGTTTTTAATACGGATGTCCTTCCAATGTTTTTAAGTGGCCATACAATGTTTTTTGACAACTTTTTGTTAAACTGATGATGGAATGATTCAATTCCGAAAAGATCTTCTTTAAAATAAAAATTTTAAGCTTTTAATAAGCATTTTTTTATACCTTAATACACACGAACACCACGTGCTTTGTATCCAACAGGAATCTTATGATTATTGCTATCTGATCATTCACTATGATCAATAAGCAAGTTAGTTCTATATACAAAATATTACAAAAAACTTATCTAAGGTTACATTCGGCAATATTTCTTAGGCTCTAATACATTATAGTACTACTAGCTAACGTGTACACTTTAGCCGCACTTTGGTCTGCTTTTTGATTTTCACTCACTTATAGCACTAACTCAAACGGCTTCGTTCTTAGTTTTCTTATCTGGTTGGCGTTGTCTAGGAATTTAATGGTCTCGACATTCACGTGGTTGGAGAGCCTTTGTTCATGACTCTCGGCAAACTTACTTATTGTCTGGATAACCGTATCCATCTGGAGGTCTCGATGAAGATTACAGTTTCTGAAGTACCATGGAGCGTTAACGATGATCCTTAATACTATATTCTGATATCGTTGTATATGTTGGATGTTACTTTCTTTTGTACAGCCACATAGCTGTATTCCGAATGTCCAAAACGGTTTAAGGACTTGCTTATGCACTAAAAATTTGTTTTGAGTAGACAGAGTGGATTTTTTCCCGTCAACCAGTACATCTTTCTGAACTTAATTTCTAATTCCTCCTTTTTTTTTCTTTATATGTGCTTTCCAACGTAGCTTGGAATCTAATGTCATACCCAAATATTTTACCGTATTTGCATAAGGTATTTGGTTTCTGTTTATACTAACTGGGATATGTTGTTCTCTTTTGTTAGTAAAATTGACATGATTTTGTTCCATTCAATTTGATACACTATCGACTGGTCCAGATGTTGATTTGTTCAACAAAGTTCTGTAGCATGGTTGCGGCATCCTCATGGTTTTGTCCAATTACTAGAATGCATGTGTCGTCTGCAAATTTTATTTTGAGAAGAAAATAATTAACAGCACAAGTAACACAAAACATTTAAATATCCCTAGCACAAAACACCTTGTTTACCCTTAATTATGAATCTGCTGATGCTTTCAGTTTCCGTTCTCGTTCCCGTTTCCGGTCAATTGTGCAGCCGCCTTAACTATTATTTCGTAGATATATTTACATTCTTGTACTTGGTATAAAAAAACTGTGTGTACTAACAGAGTGACTCCTTTGGCTCTCGTTTCTTTCGCAACACCATTGTAGATCATCAGAAAGTCATATATCATAATTTGGCTCTTTCCTTTTTTCTTCGGTTCTTGTAGTGTACATATCGTTATCGTTATGACGTTTTAAGTACCCATTCAAAGTACGTTTCTTGCTTTCCATAAATTCGTTGTCATCGTTGAATCTTTCCTTCCTGTTTCGAGGCATAATTGTTTTCTATGACAGTAGAGTCCTAATCTGGCTGCAGACCCTGTTATTCCTTTATCCGGGCTTGGGATCGGCAACAGTTCTATTGAGCTACTCGATCCATCCAATAAAATTGAAGATGGAGCTTTAATAGACGTTAAGAATGCTTTTAGAATCGTGGAATAGTGGATAATAAGCTTTTTATTAAGTAACAGTAGAATGGACTAGAGAATTGTCATTTAATTACTGAAAGTCAAAAAGGCTCAGTCGATAATATGAAGGAAAGAAAAAACTTTGATATTCTTCTTAGGGTGCCTGTCTGTTCCGAACGTTGGCGATCATTCTGGCTATGATGTTTTTGTTGGTTGCTATACGAAATAGCTGTGTTGAGGTCTTTCTATACCATGCTCTCAGGTTAGCAAGCCAATTCTTCTTCGTCCTAGTGTCCTTTTTACTTCAATTTTACCTTGCAAAATGCATTGAAGTAGATTTTTATCTGCCTTGATTTCTCATTATATGTCCCAAGTACTGCAGCTTACGGCCCTTCACGATGTTGACCAAATCCGCGGTTGTGTTCATCTTCCGCAGTACTTCTTCATTGGTGACTTTGTCTATGGTATCTTCAGGATCCTTCTGTATAACCCTAGCTCAAAATCTGAAGTTTTGATAGAGTTTCCGCCTTCAATGACCAAGTTTCTGGTTCGTACAGAAGCACTGAGTACACGTAACATTTAAGAAGCCTTATTTTTGTTTCTAGAGTGAGGTCATTGCTGTTGAACACAGAGCTCATAGTCAAAAATGCACTTTTTACCTTTCCGATGCGACGTTTAATCTCTTGGGTATTGTCCCACGACTCATTGATTATAATTCCCAAGTAGTTGTATTGTGGGACACGTTCAATTCTCATTTGGTTCACATACAGATGTGCTCCAGTTATGTTTTTCTTGCTGATGATCATTACCTTGGTTTTGCTGGTGTTTATATCCAGTCCATATGTACTACTTGTTTCCGTTATTTTGTTCATTAAGTTTTGCAGTCCTTCTATGGTATTGGAACACTATTTTATCATCTGCATACCGCAGGTTATTGAACGACTTTATTTAATTAGATGCCCTCATCAATATATTTTAAAGCCTCTTCAAAAATGTGCTCCGAGTACAGATTGAATATCAGTGGTGACATTATGCACCCCTGTCTCACTCCCCTTAAGATTTTGATCTGATCTGTATATTTTCCATCTATTCGGAGCACCGGTGATTGCTTCCAATACAGGTTAGCTATTATTATTAAGTCTTTTCCGCCAATCCCTGTCCTCTTCAGCACGTCCATCATTTGTTCATGCCTGACTCTATCGAAAGCCTTCTTGTAGTTAATCAGGCATGCAAAAACATTACAGCTGACATCTCTACATTTCTGAAACAATACCTGCACGCTAAATAAGGTTTCCCTCGTACCAACGGCGTTCATAAATCCAACTGATTGGGCGCAATTTGTTCCTCACATTTCTGGTAAATTTTTTTGTGGATGACTTTTAAAAACAGCTTCAGCAGATGGTTTATTAGGCTTATGGTTCTATAATCTTCACAAACTTGCTCCTCGTTTTTTTGGCCATTGGTATGAACTCCGATTTGAACCACTCTACTGGCATTTTTCGTGCCTTGTATATTTCATTAAATATTTTAGTTATTATTTTTATTTGTTCTGTATCTAACAGCTTCAACAGTTCTGAAGGAATGTCATCAAGTCACGGTGCCTTTCCGTGTCCTTCATTTGTCTGACGGCTGCCGTTATTTGTTCTGGTAGGATTTCGGGACCTGAATTTTCTTCAATGGTAGGCTCTTGTATTGTTCTAAGGTTATGGAAAAGCCTCTCCAAGTATTCTTCCCATACTTTCTTTTTATCTTCTTTGGTTATGACAAGATTCATCATCTGTTATTTTTTTGCTGTCGCCTTTTTGGAACTTTCCAGCTATTTCCTTTACCTTTCGATGAACATTGAAGTTATCATATCGACTCTGATACTCCTCTATTTCTTGACCTTGCTCTATTTTTTGTTTCTCTTTGGCTTCTTTTATTTTTCTTCTGACGGTGGTATGTATTCATTTATATTCTTCGAGATTTTCTTTGTTTTTTTTCTGATCCATAAGTTCAAGTATTTCATCGGTCATCTACGATTTCTGTTTCGCTGTATCTTTCTTCAGGTGTTGTTCTTTTATTTCTCTCACTGTTTCTTGTATGATAGTCAGACTTTCCTCTATAGTTCCTGCATTTTTGCGTTTTAGCCCCTTTGTATTAAGGTTTTCACTAACCTTCAGTCGAACATTGGGATCTTTCAGTTTTCTAACATCATACTTCTTCATCGACTTACTTGTAACCTTTTCCATTCTGACTTTGAAATTACCTACAACTGGTACATGATCATAATTTATGTCTGTCCCCTGGTATATTTTGACAGATGTACAGCTGTTCCTATACTAACCTCTTATTTACTAGCATATAATCAATCTGATTTCTTACATTCCTTCCCACAGAATCCTGTGGAGATTTCCAGGTGTACAGTTTTCTTGGGTATAGCTTAAACCAGGTGTTCATTATTACTA